ATTTGAAAAGAGGATTTTAAGGTCTAAAATAGTTTTGGTCAAAATGGGGTGTAAGGTTTGGATCAGAAGCTCAAAAATCGAGGCATTTTGCTGAAGAATTTGAACGATTGTGCAGAGTAACTTTTCATCATCGAATGTTCAAAGTGCAACACCCAACTTTTAAGGGCGGTCAAAAATGCGGTGTCTACACATATGCTTTTAATAAAATCATATATCAAAATCATATTTGTAATGCAATAGGAATTACCACACGTCTATCTATAACGAAATATTGAAAATGAGCAAGAAAATCATTACCTCTTGAAGTGAAGAGGAGAAAATTCGAAAAACTACAGGCAACGAAAACACGATCCGCTCAGATTAAACTAAAGTCCTCACCACTCTCTATGTTTTGGTATATGGAACTAGGGGTAGCAAATGAGTAGAAATAGATCAAACCAAGGGTTTTGAACCTCAAAACCCCAAAAATGATGATCTGAGGAAGGGGAGAATAAAGTGGTCCAACATAGCTTTTTTCACACACTGAAGTTCTATTTATAGACAACTAGTTTGCAGGCGTGAAGCAACACACCGCGAGAGCGAACCCTTTCTTCATAGCCACGGTCAACAACACCTCAGGCATGGTCTAGCTAGAAACCTAGTCGCTGGTCAACCTAAACCATCGCATGCATAGGCATATTCCCATAGGCAAAAGTACTGGAAGGAGTTTTTCTTCGTAGCCCATTGCGGACGCGACCTGTACTCCTCAACATCACGACCTTGGTAACAAAGGTTGCAGGCGCAACCAAGCAAAAACAAGAAATTCTTGGTTGCTTTCCAAAGCCAACGCAAGGCGTTCTAAGAGCATCTCCAATGGTTTGCCATTGGAGCTGCCATTGCTATAATATAGCAGCTGTGTTGAATTTTGATGCTCTAATGGCAAAACATAGCAGCTGCCAAATTTGAGAAATGCCAAAGCTTGTGTCAAAAGCTGCCACTCATGCCAACTTAGCCGAAACCAACGGTTTCCCTCCCTCCTTCCTTCCCTTCCTCCCTCCCTCCCTTCATGCCAACTCAGCTAATTCATCAAATAGATTCACAGAAAAAAAATTACAGATTCAGAATTCAGATTCAAAGATTCACAGATTCAAATTCATCAAAAAATTACAGATTCAAATTATAGATTCAAAGATTCACATATTCAAATACAGATTCACAGATTCAAATTCATCAAAAATATTAGAGATTCATCAAACAGATTCATAAAAAAAAAAAAAAAAAACAGATGACAGAGAGATGAGGGTTCTGTTTGAGCATATACCTGGTCTCATCGTCCTGTTTGAGAGATTCATCGATTGACACAGAGCATATACCTGGTCTCATCTTTCTCTCTATTTCAAACAGTCGCCGATCTGTTCAGAATTCACCGATCGAAGACAGAGAGATAAGGGATATAGTGAGACAGAGAGAGAGGTAGATCTGGATAGCTAGAGTGAGAAGATTGAAGATAGTAAGAGACATGGACGATGGGGATAGTAGATCAAAGACAGTGAGAGAGAGGTAGATCGAAGACAGTGAGAGAGAGATAGAGTGTGAGAAGAGAGTGAGAAGATTCACCGATCGAAGAGAGAGAGAAGAGAGTGAGAGTGAGAGTGAGAGACGAATCTAAGAGTGAAAGGGACATGGAGAAGGAATGAGAGAGACAGTGAAAGGGAGAGGAAGAAAATGTTGATGAACAAATCATCTCAACCGTTCAAGATCAGCACGTGGACGATGTGGGATGGCATTTGATAGAGTCGTTGGGCTCTGTTTGGCTTTAAAAAAAAAAAAAAAAACTCAATTTGCTGGGTGGGTGGGTGGCTTAAAAAAATAAACTTAATTTTTTATAAATAGAGCCATTGGGCTCTGTTTGGGCATTTGATAAAGCCGTTGGGTCAGTTTGAATTTTTATAAATAGAAACTCTTTATTTGAATTTTTTTTACAGCAACCATTACACATTTCACTTTTCTTTTCTTCTCTCTTCATCTCAATTTGATTTCATACTAAATTTCTGAAATTATATTATTTTTAGTTTTTTCACACAATCACTATGGAAGGTTCATCAAAAACAAAGAGAGAAAAATCATTTACTACTAAAGAAGATGTGGCAATTTGTAGAGCTTGGTGTCACATTACTGAAGACCCAATTGTTGGAAATTCGCAATCGCATACTCATTTTTTGGGAAGAATTTTTGAAAATTTTTGCTCGCTGCAGAATGATCACTCAAGAACACAAGTGTCTATCTCATCTCGGTGCGGTGTAATAATGAAATGTTGCAACAAATTTCGTGGGTGTTTAGCACAAGTTGAAAATCTACATCCAAGTGGGGCGTCACAAGTTGATACAGTAAGATTTCATTTTTATTTATTATGTTAGTTTTTTTTATTATTTTGTCTTACATAAAAATTAACTAATTAATTAATTTAATATTTTTTTGATATAGATGCTTCAAGCAAAATTGTTATACCATCAAGATGAAAACAAACATTTTATTTTTGAACATTGCTGGTCAATTTTGCAAAACAATATCAGGTGGCAAGATGTAAATCCTACGAATACAGTGAAGTCAAGAATACATACACCATTTTCCCCTAATTCAGCCACCGATTCCCCTATGGATAACTGTATTTCTCTTGAAGATGACACCAGTCTAAGTGTTGGTAACAATCCAACTGTTGGTAAGGGCAGTGTCTCTGCAAGGGGTAAAAGGCCGATGGGTTGGAAATCTGCAAAAGAATTATTTCGAAAAAATCAAGTCGTTCAAGCTGAAGTTCAAAAAATGAGCACACAATTGGACACATTTAACCAATACCTTGCTGAGAAGGAAAAGAAAAAAGATGAAAGAGAAGAAAAAAGGATTCAAGCACTGCAGGAGATGAAAGAACTTGAGACGAAAAAACATGACTTTGAGATCAGAAGACAAGAACATGAGATGAAAAAGGAAGAACATATGATAATGACTACGGACATTTCTCATTTGGACCCTCAGATGAAAGCGTATTACACAATGCGAAAAAATGAGATTTTCGCCAAGTGGTCCTCAAATGTGAGCAGCCCAAATTTTTATTTTCCCCTACCTCCTGATGAATAATTACGAGATAAATGTTAGTCTTTATTTTTTGCAATATCATTAAATTTGCAATATCATTTATTTTTTGATGTAATTGTTAGTCTTTATTTGCAATGTAATTTTTATTTTGTAATGAAATTTCATGTTTTTATTATTATTTTTTTATTTTTGAGTATTTTGTACTTCACAATGTAATATTATTTTTTCAATGTATAATGTTCACTAATTTGTATTATAATTTAATATTTTCAATAAAGTATAATGCAAAAAAATAAATATATTTTTTCAAATGAAGGCAATAAAAAAATAAAATACATTAGCTGATATTAAATGAAAATAATTTTATTATAATAAAAAGACATTATAATATAAATATATAATTTTTTTCAATTTTTCCAATTTTTCTTTTTATTTTTTATTTTTTATATTTGTCTAGTTGGGAATAATATAAATATATAATTTTTTTAACAAACAAGTAAAAAAAATGTCACAAAAGACAAAATACGCAAAAATAAAATCACAAAAAACCTATATCCAAACAACACCTACAAACTTGGAAGAAAAGTTGGTTGAGATTTGCCAAAAATAACAAATGACCATTGGAGCACAATTGCTATAATTTGACAAAATAATACTATTCATTGTCAAATTATAGCAATAGCAATAACAATATAGCAACTACCATTGGAGATGCTCTAAGGTTAGCAAGGTAAGGTTAGAGTCAACCACGACAACCATGTGTCCCAACCAAAAACCAAACGGGTTTTTTACCCAAGCCACTACATAGAGAGAGATGAGTGAAGAGAATAATAAATAAAAAATGATAATTTTTTATTTTATAAGTTAGGGTATTGTAATAATTGTATTATTTTATTTAACTGGGTTACTAACAGGGGGTAGCAGTGGTATTTCAGAAATTAAAAGGGGTGACAGTGATATTTCAAAGAAACAGAGGGGGTGTCAGAGTAATTTACCCATAAAAAAATTATTGGTGGATTGTCCGGCTCTCTCAATGACCTGCTGACAAAAGACCATGATTCAAATTTTGTTACATTCCAATTTATAAGATGACTTGTTTTCTCAGGTAATTGCAGGTTTGCCGGTTGTTTTGATTCATATATGGGCAGTTGGTGCAACTTCCTACCTTGTTCTTGATATGTAGGGAATGATATATATTCAATTGCAAGTTTTTATATTTAAAGCTTTTGTACAAAGCTACTGAGGTTCAAGACACACCGTTACCAAGTGCAATGCCTGAATTGGAATCTTACTGCTGCATATGCAGCTTCCTTACCCCATTCCCTTTCTTACCGCTTGTAAAACAAATAAGACAACATTCAAGAAAATGCAAAACAAGGAAGGCCAAACAACAAGAACAAAAATAAGATTAAAATGGTAAAGTCACATTTATGCAGCTACGAGATTCAAGGCAATACACAGCTTACTGTTAATTTCTGATTTGTTTTTACATAAATGAGGCTGAGGAAAACCATATGACAGTAACATACATTACATTTTGGTTTAATAAAATAAATTGTTCGGTAACAAGCATAAACTAATCTTCTAGCCTTGACACAATAATGTTGCAATTACAAATTCCAAATCAACTCCAAAAGCATAATGGAATTACTCTCATCTCAGCCTATTTAAAAGATAGCAATCTGTTTCCAATCGTTTAGCTCTTCCAACACTATCCTTGAATAATCATCAACCAAACAATACCACCGGAGAAGAAAAAAAAAGTACATTTGCTGTCAGAGATAGAGCTACCTGCGGCATCCACTAAAGTGTTTTGGAATGGCCCACAGCTTCCGAAAGGACCCCTCGTCTGAATCACTATCACCACTATCACTATCTGAAGACGGTATCATAAATGGAGTTCCATGTACTATATACATCACAATCTGGCAAAAACAAAAGCATAGCAGAGATTATTTGATTGGGCCACACTGTGATGATGCGATTTTGCTGACAAAAAAGGGTGGATCAAAAGAATGAAAGGGAGTTCCGCATAGTCAAACAACACTTAAAATCCAGTCTTTTAGATGACTGGAGGAGTAAAATCACATGATGACGGGGTAGTATATTGCTTCTCTTCCTATTTGATCAGATGTGTTCATGGACGGGGTTCAAGCATTAGAACAAAGGCAAGGATCCTCAGCATTATTTTAATTGTTGTGATTACAGAAAAGCTGGTTGTCTGTTGCTGTTCTAGAAATTAGGATCCAAAAGTGCAATGACAAACTACACTACAACAAAACCAACAAGCATTCGCTCTGGTGCCTAGGCCAAATTATGACACATTCTATTACAAAACAGATGCAACAGTTCAACCCCAGTTATATGCAAGGAAGAGGAATCAGTTGCACAGCATGAGCTCCCCTCCATGCATTCATCTCTCCATACTCATTCATATCCACCCTTGTGGGTCCTAATTTGGATCCATATTGATGATCCAAGTCGTCTACATTGTAGACCCCGCAATAAATGAATGTAAAAAATTAATTTCATTAGACATCTATATGTAAGTTTCTGAAGAATAACTTGTATATTCAATTGTGTATAATACAAAGTGTACAACCAAGTTATATAGACCTAATCTAAAAAAGGAAATAAGAATAAACCTACATTCTTACAATCAATATAACATATTTACATAATAAACATAATATTCTCACACTATAAACACATGAACAAATCACATTTTCTTTATAAAATGAACAACAAATATGATTGTAAACTTAACTCATCCATTTTATAAAACAAAACGCACTTTGTTCCTGTGTTTATATTTGTCCGGTAAAGCTAATTTTTTGCATGGATAACCTTTACTGTGAGACCTACAAAGTAGACAGTTCAGATTACCTGTGAGTGCCCGGGTTAGAGCCCACAAGGTGGGTATGGAGAGGAACGTATCCCCAGTTGCACTGGCAACCAAATCAGCACCATAGATTTTCATACAAAGAGATAATTACACCAAAGTTGGGGGAATCATGAGATGTATGGAAAATAATCAAATATAAAGGGAGTTGATCCTAAATGATGCATCAGAACAACGAAAATAACAAAAAATCAAAGTTCATATACACCAACTTGTAGAAATAGCACCTGCAACTAAAAATCTACAAGAATAAATGAAAATGCAGATGTTTAATCAAAAATAGAAATAAAAAAATAAGAAAACCCCAGACCTAAAATTTACCTGCTCAAGTGATATGTGCTTGATTTGCTGGTTTTTGGAGTTTAGCCTACAGTGTTTATTGGAACATTTCATGTTACTCAGCCAAACAACCGCATCACAGTGCCCACAGTATCCCCTATGAGATGTAAGTTTCTTTAATGAATTGCCTGAAACCAAATAATATATGTCAAACTAGGGCAAATAATATTGCATAGTAAAGTTGCATAGAGAGAGAGAACTTCTCAGGCACATCTAATAGGTGCTTTAGAAAATAAATACTTACAAGTACCATGGGAATTATACATCTTAAGAATAAGAATAACAGCTATTGTTCAGAGCATTGCAAAATGCCGGATCTAACAATCAAATCGTAAGATGTCAAGTAATTTGTGATGCCTTACGATCAAATATTTGATATGATTTTCTCCAAAATATATAATTTAAGTGACAGACAGAAAAGCAACTGCATATTAACTTGTGTGCTCCAATATTGTAGTTCAGAAGAAGCCCAAATAAATTATATATTTGAAAGGTAAAGTACCAGCGTACCTTTACATGCTTCTTTAAAAGTGTCTCTCCAGTCAGTATCAGTTCCAGCATTAACTTCCATTTGCAATTGCATATGCTCATCATTTTCAAGTATTCCATACCTTTGCATTTGCAGCCCCCTACCCTTGGAACAATTATTGGAATCACCAAAGTACATAACATGTTGCAAATGCCACAAGTGGTTGTCACTTGCTGCCGAATTCCACAACCTTCACATGAAACATCCAAGGGTGTCGTTAAATTAGGAAGGAAATAGTGTCACAGAAGGGGGGTGGGGGGAATCCAACTTCCAAGGTTATATAGCCTTTTAAACTAGACCATACTTGGGGTGCCATTCAGAAGGACCACCAATTAGATATTTAATTTGTTCAATTGGTAGATCCACACGATATAATAAACTATGACAAGGTGTGCAAACCCAATGTTATGTCTAAACAGGGTAATGTAAAGGAACATTACCGGCATACTGATGCAGCCAAAAGCAAAGATTGCAAATCTAAAAAACTGAAGATGTGCACTACAACATCTTGAGGAAGTTGAATTGAACCTGAAAATACGCAAAAATTTTAATAATAAAAGAGTGCAACCAACAGAAATAAAATAAAGGATATCTCAAATATGCTTCATCTGGTTGTTACAGGGAGAATGAATTGTTAAACTGTACAACCAGTTTACAGCTTTGTAAATTGCAAAATATGGGCAATACATTGAGTTAATTTGGGCACCAATGACTTAATATATCTTTCTCATCTACTTTCTTCCTCCGGCTTGAAACAAGACATATTTGAGACTACTTTACATGCCAAGTTACAATTTTGGATACAGATTGTACAGACAATAGTTGTAATGAGCAACGTATAAAAAATGCTCCCAACTAAAGTGATCACTTTGTAACATCATTGGTTTCCAAGATCAACATTCATCCAATTAATGGCAACCTCTTGGATGATTAACCAAAAACTATGTTACATGGACTTAGATACAAGTGTGTATTCATCTAATTCTCATGTCCAATGACACTAGGACAAGGCAAAATTTCGTGTTTATTAAATTATTTTATATTTTAGGGTGAAATGGTGGCTTACAAGCTAACATATAGCATGTTATGCATTAAAAAAAGAGTAATGTAGAGATATAGTAAACTTTACATAGTCATCCTTGTTGGTTGCATGCCAACCAGATAATATCAGACACATGTACTCTTGCCCAAGTATCAAGTGTGCAACATGGGTACTTCACAAATTTAGAACAGTCCATGTAAATAAAATAAAAGATTCGATAGATATGACTATCAGTAGCTGTAGACCATCCATGAGCTCCACTAGTTAATGGTAGCTTTCCAATCCTAGACCACATCATTGGGCTTGACGATGAAGATCCACTTGATGGCCACCTCATGGATGATTGACCAAGAGAAAAAATGCACCTGATAGATCTCATTTCAGTTGTTCACTTATAGGCTGTGACCCATCTGTGAGGTGCTTCATTAAGCAAAGAGAATTGGGCCATCGTGCTTCATTATATCGCGCCAGTAAGAGAATTGGAGCTAAAAGAGATGACTCTATCACCCACTTAGATAACAGTTTCTCAAACTAAAAGATACCTTCTTCCTGTCGGTCCTTACAGCGCCTCTTATGAGCAACCTTTGCATGCTTGAACTCTGTCACAGCCAAAACTTTCTTTTGCTTTGGCAACACAGCCTCAGCACTCTGAATGAGGAGATTAGCCGCTGAAACAGCATTTTGTGTCTGCATCCTAAAAACCAAATTAACCATTATTCCAATATGGATAAGCAATACATGTGAAAGCAGAAAAAGACATCCCCAGCTATCTATTTATAGTGGGCTGATGGTGGAAAGTAAATAGTCGAAAGAACCATCCCAGACCCAGCAGCATATGAACAGGCTGTCTGCCCCATGCATTAGGAATTGTATCGAGATTAACTGATTCTTAGGCTTGTAATAAGCCAAACAACTAAATAATTTTGTAAAGAATATAACTTCCTTTAGGTAGATGGCAAAGGTGCATAGATTTGGCCCATGTGACAAATGCTACCAGATAATAGAAGACATCAGGGTCTTTGTTTTCACGACACAAGCGACATATCATGCTACGCACTACTTCAGGAGCAGTTGATATTTTGTTGCTCCACACCAGAGGTTTTTATATAAATTTCCAGAAATTCACTGTACAGGCGTTCACAGGAGAAACATATCAAGTGAGAATAGAAATAGTTGTGAAGCTATCTCTACCAAGCTTTCCCAACCTCTTGTTAGTAGTGAGGAGAATAAATAAAATTGCATGCTAGCAACATTCCCCTAGACTTCATTTAGAAGCCAAAACATTGCAAATCTTGCTTATTTGCCCTATAATCAATAACCAAAGCAACTCACACTTGCCCATGAAATGATTGATGGAATTGGTATTTCAAAATGGAATTTTGAATGTAGAGTATATATGGAAATAGGATTTAACTATCTTGAAATCCCATGAAAAATGGTCAGATTTCAATGGAATTGGAATTAAAAAAAACCTAATATAATATAGTTTGCCACGCTCTGCCCTTCCTTTATTGAAGTTTCCCATTTCTTGTCCATTACTACAATAGGGGCATCATTGTCTAGATAATCTTCGGGAGAAATAACAATACGGTGTAGGTTTAGAAAAAAAATAAAAATAAATGAATTACAAGTCAGTGATAAAATTTATAAATTTTAATAATTAAAATCCTAAACTTTTTCATGAATCTGTAATTGTTTTTGAAAGTTACCACTGAACCCTAATTTCCCCTAATTTTTTTCCTTTCCAAATCCTTGTCAAACCAAACAGAAAAATGGAATGCTTCCTTTATAATTCCAATTCCTTTCCTAGAAATCCATAAAAATGGCATGCTTCCTTTGAATTTCCCGAGAAATCCATTCCTTTCCTTTCCTTTCCTTTAATATTTTTTGAATACCAATATCTAAAAGGATTTGGTTAAAAAAAAAAAAAGGTGTTAATGTCAGGTTTACAACACAATCAAAAACAATTACTTTCATGATTTTACAAATTAACTCACAATTGTCATTGAAACATTTATACTTAAATTCATTAATTAGTTTTGAACAATACACACAACATTAACTCTCTTCTTTTCCCCCTGTAATTATAACAAAAAAACCAAATATTTGTCCCAAAAAAATAAAGAAAAGAAGGCATCATTAAATTGTCTTTTACTAAAATTATAAGTGATTACTACATATCACAAATTGAATTTTATTTATTTCTTTATTTATAGAGTAAAATTATAGGTAAGAGTATTTAGTAATGATTGAATCAATCATTGTCTTCAACCAAAATTATAAAATAGTTTTCTTACACATTTTTTTTTCTTTTTTTTTTATCAGCAAAAAGATAATTTTATTAATACAACTTACATAAATACAAAGTAAATTACATCAATAAAACACCGAGGTGCAGAACAGCATCAAGGCCAAATGAAAATATCCTGACTAAGTTGACACATGAACACTAGCAAATCATATGCAAGAACCAAAGAAAAACAACTTTTGGCGAGAAACCAACCAAAGAGAAAGAAACACCAAAAAAATCAAAAAGCAACATACGCAAAGAAGATGCCTATCTAATTTACCCTAATTTTAATGAGTTAGTCAACTAATAATTTTAATAAACTATTTCATAGTAATTTTAAGCACATTATGTCATAATTGAAAAAGAACATACAGAGCAAACATACATAGCTTTAGAAGCATTAAATATTGACCAATGCATTGAAAACTAGAAATTAATAGGGAAGGCTTCAATTGGGGAGACAAGGTTCAATGTAGGTTCAGCTCCCTCTTCTACACTCTACATCCCTTTTTTTTTTTCTTTTTTTTTTTCTTTTTTTTGGATTGGCATTGGGGTCTACGGATGGTTTGGCATTGGGGTGTACTGATCAAAGCCTGACTAATTCCTAGGGGTGCATAGGTCATTGGCAAGCAGTTTCCCACAAGTGCACTACAGTTAATTCAAGAGTTTTCCCTCAGTCTGATGAGCTAAAGGAATTGTTAACACCTAAGAGATTTCGATCCCTGAACCAGTTAATTCAAGAGTTTTCCCTCAGTCTGATGAGCTAAAGGAATTGTTAACACCTAAGAGATTTCGATCCCTGAACCTTGGAGGGAGCACACCCCCAAGACCCATGGCCTTGCCACCAAGCCAACCTCTTGGGGTTACACTCTACATCCCATTTTTGTCAACAAGTGAAGTGATAACTACCCAACCGAAGTCATAATCTATATAGTAAGGCAACTTTGTTTTTAAAAATGTGTTAGAGATACATTTGATTGGAATGGCTAAGATTAATTTTGGGTTTGATCCAACAGTGACAAGATTGTTTTTGAACCTTTGTCCAACGTGGCATCATTGCATCATGGGCTAGAAGATGACACCAACATTCAATGGCTAAGATCAAACCTCCCTTCCTCTTTCTTTTTCTTTGCTTTTCTTTTTGTTTCTCTATCAACCTTGCCTCTCACATTTCAAACTTCAAGCTTGTTCACAAAGACCATGCTACCTCTCTCTCTTCATGTCTCCACCATGGGTTTGTGAGTTACAAATGGCTGATTGAGACTTGAGAGGGCTTGATCTATGGAGTGTTGATGGACGACTATACCTTGAAGTCGACGATCAACGAGTGATTGATTCCGATGATCAAAGCTCTTGAAGCGAGCATGGCAAGTCAAGAACAAATTGAGGCCATTTTGGTTTAGAGATCCGAACAGATCCAATGGGTATTCCCAGTACAAACCCCTAATATCAGTCTCTTTATATTTGTGTAAACAATTGTCAATTTCCAAAATTATTGATTTCGATGACTAAAGCTCTTGAAGAGAGCATGGCTGACCAAGAACAAATTAAGGCCACTTTGGTTTAGAGATCCGAACAGTTCCAGTGGGTATCCCCATCACAAACCCCGAATATCACTCTCTTTATATTTATGTAAACAATTGTTAATTTCCAAAACTGTTGAACTAAAATTTGTGTTTTATTTCATTGCATTTATTAAATCTTCTATTAGAATAACACTCAACATGCTTGGAGGTGTCTTCAGAGGCTTCCTCAAGAAATCAGGTCCAACATTGTCAATTGTAAATAAGACTTTTCTCAAGGCCGCGGCTTCCTGCTTGGCCACGGACTGTAGTGCATTTGGCTGGGTTTATATCGGAATGAATCTTGATTCTAGACAGCTTCTTGCTGTTAAGCAGGTTCATTTTTATGCATCTTTCTTTTATATATACATATATCTATATAGTTAAATTTGGTGTTAGTTTCTTCAATTGTTTTTGGTATTGATTTTTATATGCATCTAAGAAGGTTTTAATTGCAATAAGAGTGCTTCAAAAGAGGGAACCATGTCCAATTTAATTGCTTTATTTATAATTATATTGTTGATTCTTAGAATTTGTATATGAAGCATTGTGTTTGTGGTCATATATATACGATGCAGTGGTTTGACGAAATATTAGAGAGAAATTTTTTTTTCTATTCAATCTTTGAGATTATATTATTTTTTTAATTTTAACCGAAATTCAAATGGGACCAACCTCCTGAATAGAACAATAGGGATTCATTTACTAAGGAAAAATAACAGTGGTGCTATAGGAAACGCTAGCTCAAAATCTCCTCTTGCAAAGGTACAATTTTCTTCTAAATCGTTTTTACATGAGTATTTGCTCATCAAAACAATTGTCTGTTGCTTTTGTGTTTGTGAATGGAGCGCAGTAGAAATGTTACAATAATCGTAGTGAATAGTGGAAGGAGAGCTCCGCAGTGAATTTCTAGGGTTGAATGAGGAGAAGAGCTCTAATGGTTTTGATGTAAGTGGGATAACCTTAAAAGTTAGTTTCTTTACAACATAATTTGAAGACAGGAAAGAGCTCTCTCTCTCTCTCTCTCTCTCTCACACACACACACACACTCTCTTTTCCAAATGGCAATTTTTTGTGAATTTCGTTAAGGGTTTGTGTCTTTGGGATTGTGTTTTGTACATAATTTAGTTGTATTTTGATTGTCCTTTTCTTTATGGTTATGTATAGCTCCTTTGCTGCTTCAAGTCTCAACTTAGGTGTATAGACAAAAGGTTGAATATATTTATTCACTAGTTTTACTTGCTTTGGTCTCTCTCTCTCTCTCTCTCTCTCTCTCTCTCACACACACACACACACTCTTTTCCAAATGGCAATTTTTTGTGAATTTCGTTGAGGGTTTGTGTCTTTGGGATTGTGTTTTGTACATAATTTAGTTGTATTTTGATTGTCCTTTTCTTTATGGTTATGTATAGCTCCTTTGCTGCTTCAAGTCTCAACTTAGGTGTATAGACAAAAGGTTGAATATATTTATTCACTAGTTTTACTTGCTTTGGCTTAGGTATATTGTGGTTCACTTTCCGACATTGATAGTTGTTTCATCTTGGAAGTTTTTTTGTTCTCCGGATGGGTTTAGGGAGATTGAATGTGAAGATACTTGGGCAACTCGTTTCGTAGAAGAAGAAACACAAGAAATTAGAAAATGGGAGAAAGATTTGATACAGTTGTACTGAGTAATGTTCATACACTAACTAAAGATTTGATACAATGATTTAATCATTCACGAGATTCATTTTTATGATGACAATCACTTAATTATTGTTATGAAGTCTTTATGAGTAAAAAGGCAATTTCTCATGTCTCTTTCAAACTTAGATGGCATCTTCATTTTGTTTCTATGTAAAACATTTGATTTTATTTGTGAAGTGAAGATTGATTGGGTCCTTTATATCAAATTAAAAATTTGATTTTTGCTTGCAGGATTACTGTTCAAATTCATTTGTTCCTTCCAAATTAGTTTTAGTGCTTGTTGTGGCCAATACAAGCTATACATTTCATATCATCTCTGTTTTTTTTTTTTTTTTCTCAATCAATTTGTCATGTGTCGTCATGCATTGCTGGGAATGTAAAATTTTGTACTCATCATTTCTTTCAAAGATTAAAAATATTGCGTTTTGGACTTATATAGTAGTGATGACACAAATTTTTGATTTTTTTCTTGAATTTTGCAATGAATAGTTTGTATTTTTTTTTAGGACTTTTTTATTTTAATTTTAATTTTAATTATTTGATCTATTTATAGAGCTTAGATAATTGGAAAAATGGTGAGTTCAGCAATGCGTGTTCTATGTTTGCTTCACTGTGGTAATTTATTATCTAGATCAAAGTGTTTGTTATGTTACATGGACTTTTCTATTTCGCCCACAGTACTCGTGTCTAGTAGATATAACATGGGTAAGGGTGTAGGATATGTGTCCGACACTCGTATCCAATTTAGACACTCGGATCCTATAATTTGTTACAATATATGAGAAGAAGAAACTCACATTTTCTAGTAAAGTAATATTTTTAGTTTCACATATGAATTAAATATAGATATTTTATATTTTTTCTGAATCTTATTCAATTTCAATTATATCTTTTTATAATTTATAATATTTCATCCAAAAATATTATATAATATATTGTGTATATGACGCTTCTCCGCACCCATATCCAATTTTGGATACATATCCCAGGAACCTAAAATTTAAATTTATATAGGTTTGACGCTTGGATACACACCACACCCAATACTCGTACCCGACTCCATGTAACATAAGAGTGTCTGGAGAGGTTTGCCTAATTCGTATTTTTGCTGGTGTTGAAATTTACTCCCCTATTCAACTAGGAAGACTTCTATACAAGAGTTATCATTTTATTATTAGGTTTCACTGTGTAAAACCTATGTAATCTTCTCTCTTACATTCATGCTTAGAATCTTTGCTCAATGCTATTTTTCATGTGTGTTTCAGCCAATGATGGGCTCAGAATTATACTTACTAGTAGTATATTCATAGCTATCAGAAAAGTACATGAATTTTATGTTGAAAGAAGGGGATTAGTTACAAAACAAATTGGAAGAAGATTATTTGTTGCTATGACAATGTCATTGCAGAAACTTGTGAAACATGCAATTATCTCTTAAACATGGGTTTGCCGAGTTTTTTTGGTATTGCTCAAATTCAAACCGTAAAATCATTTGATTCAATGATATTATAGTAAGCTATCATGTATTTGTTATTGTTCTTTTGATTGTTTTTATTACTGCGATGAGTTCACTTTGCTGTCAAATTAGAGCTGCTTTCAAAGAATAATGTTCCCCCATGAGAGAGGGTGGTTTGCAATCAAATTGTGTAGGTAAGTTGGTAGTGCCTTTAAGCACGAATTATTCACTAGTACAAATTATGTTAGTTTCCCAATAACTAAAAAACGACGTCCAATTAGTACACATTAATGTGTATATAGGAGGGGACAGATTGGGTACACAGCTAACTTTGGCATAGTATACAAAGTGGCTGCCCCGACACCCGAACCGATAACCTTTATTAGACCAGGATTTTACCAATGAACCAACAATTAAATATAAAGAATACATAATTAAAATGATTTGTAAGAATTATATTGATGAGTTGAAATTTATTCTGAATACAAATCTCTCTACAATTAGATTTTAAGAGTTTTAAGCATTAGATACGAAATCAATTATTCACGTTTAAAAAATAAAAAATAACAAAAAAAAAATCATCAAAGAACAAAATTGTGCATGATTGTGTTGTCAACATAAAGAGCGCACACATAAACCAGACAGTTTTAAGAAAAATTGTGCTATTATAAGAGTGAGAATGCTTCAATTCAAAGAACAAAAAACAATCAAATAAAACGGAAGGAAAAAGAAACAGAGGAGGAGGAGACGGAGACTCACAGGGGAAGGAGGCGGAAGGCGGTGAGGGTGTGTTGGAAGACGAGAGACTGAAGGTTTTTGGGGAGCTTAGAGTAAGCTCCTATGAGAATGATGCTGATCTCTCTGCAGGCTATTGGGTATTGGTAGATTCTTGGGAGGGACTCTCCTATCCCTAGCTTTTCGTATCTCTCTAATGCTGCTGTCATTTTCTTGGGATTGAGAATTTGCCCAGCTCAAATCAAAGATGACCCAATTTCCCTGTGATCAGGGTTACCAAAATTGATGAGAGAATTCTTTCTGTCTTTTAGGGATGCTGTGACAGACAGGGTCAAAAACAGTGTTGGGTTGGGTTGTTTTAAAAAAATATATTTTTTTGATTTATTGACTTATATGAGTTGGTTTGGGATGTTCTAAAAAATATATATTTTTTGGCTTATTGATTTATATGGATTGGGTTTGGATTGAGATTGATGTGATATGTTAAAGAGGTGATGTGATTTAAATAAGATAACGTGACTTAAAAATGATAGTGACTTTTTAACTTTTTGTATTATTTAAGGTTGGTTTGGGGTGTCCTAAAAAAATATACTTTTTGTCTTTTTATGAAAAGATGTGCAGAAAAGTAGGAAGGTGATATAATGAAAAAAAGATAAAAAGATAAAACGATGAATTATATAGCCTATACCAAACCAGTCCTTAGTTTATGCCAAACTAACCTTAAGGAATGGTAACCGTGCTATGCACCAACTTCATAAATTAAAAAAAATATATATATATATTATAATTATTTTGAAATAATTTAAGATTTTATCTTGTAATATATATGAAATTTATAAGTTAATTTTTATATTTATAATTTTTTTAAATTATTAGTTTAAAACAATTAATATATATATATATATATATATTTGTTTAGTGCAATTTTAATAGTTTGTTTTAAAAAAAGTTAAAATATATAGTGAAATAACATCTTAAAATAATCAAAGTTTGAGTATTATAGTGAAATAATATCTTCAAATAGTCCATGTTTGAATATGTGATTGGTTGAAATGTATAATTTAATTAATTCTCTTTTCATATTTGTATAAAAATTGACATTTATGACCACATCATTATAAGTCAGATTATAAAAAAAAAATGGAGGTCCATTTGTAAATATCCTGCATATTAAAAAAAGAACAAAAAAAGAAAGAAAAATGTGTAGCTTTTGGATATGTGTTTATCAATTTTGTTTTATGGACATAAACAATTAATGTTTTAATTTAAAAAATTAAAAAGTAAAAAAAAAATAGATTGGGTTTTTTAGAGGGAGTAGCTTGTTTCCAGTTCGAGATCGGACTAGATGGTGTTGTTTGGCCCATGGGGGCCCACCATGGGTCCCGTTTTGATAATCCGAACTGTTCAATGTGTAGAACTCGTCAAGTATTATATGCTTGTAAAAAATCACGTTGATCGGATATCGATAGTTATCTCATTGGATCAGTTTTTTGTCAACCATTAATTTGTTCTTCGTCCATTTGTTTTTATACAAAACTGATTTAATCACGTAGCTATCGATATTCGATTAACGTGATTTTTTTCAAGCATATAGTACTCGATGAGTTCTACATATTAAACGGTTTAGATTATCAAAACGGGACTCATGGTGGGCTCCTATAGGCCGAACAAAATTGTCCAATCCGATCTTGGACTGAAGGCAAGCTGCATCCTTTTTAGGGATAAAAAAAGTCATTTAACTCTCCTATATACTATTTAAGAGAGACTATTTAATAACATAAAAAAATATAAATTATATTTAGAGATTATTCTTATATATTATGCTATCATATACAACTATACCTATAACAAATTAACTATAATATATATGAAAAGTTACATTAAGTTTTCATTTTCAATTAATTGAATTATAATTAACAAACTAACAAATAGCAGTAATGGTATTATAGGTAAAAAGATGATAAAAATAAAGAATGCAGTGATATTTAAAAGTTTTAAATTTACCTAGTTATACAAAAATCTAATGTTACATTAAAATCTTGAATTCTCAATAAATTTTCATGTTTTCTATAAAATAAAATGACAATAAAAAAAAAAATTGACACCCATTTTTTTTACTTCAATTTTATGGTCTTCATTAAAGAAAACAAAATCTGATCAAAATCCTTAGCATAGAACAGACATATATACTTCAATTGCAACCATAATCACCAATAATTCTTCTCCACTATGCAAACCTGTAAACAAATGCATAAACTTCATTAAAACCGAAACTGAAACCGAAACCAAAACCAAACCAACAGTAGAAAAAGAGAATCACACAGAAAAAATATAAAATTAACAAACAAATAAATTTATGAAATGAGAGTATGTTACCTCAAACAATTTAGACCTCACGTAACCCAATCCTTTAGCTCCTTCGCCAATGCCCGCGAAGTCTAAGAGTTGGGATGACTAATCATATCATTTTTTAAATAAGACTTGAAAATTGATTAATTTGTCTCATTAAGTGATTTAGATTTTTGATAGATATACTTCAAAAAAATAGATAATTATATTTTTGTGTGGTTTCTATTTATTTTTTTACAATTTATTTAAGATAGAGTTGTGGGTTTCTATTTTTTTAATCGAATTTATCTGCTGTTTCTATTTGCTTTTAATTATTATTATTTAGGTAAGTTATGATGTAAGTTAAATATGTGATAGATATGTGAGTTTTGTTGATTTAAAATATGTTGGTAGGAGATATTTTAAAATTAGATTATAAACTTTAAAGATTTTTAAAATTTAAAATTGGATATTGAGATTCAAAAGAAAGATTTTAACTGAATAAATAAAAATCAGATTTATTAATTTTATCTTTTTGTATACTTGATTTTTATTTATTTATTTTTTTGTTATGTTAAATATAATATATAAATATAGATAGATATCTACAACTTTCATGAAAAATATTATCTAATTTTTTGGGGAAGGGAGAAGAAAGGCAAGTTTTAATATATATATATATTTTTGGAAATCGGTGAGAGAGAATATGATGGAGAGATTAGGAAATATTTTTTTATCTTCCCATTTGAAGTCCATAAATTAATGAATAATTATTATTTCTAAAATAATTAAATAAATAAATCAGCCAATAGGTTTTTTTAATCTATTTTATAAATTGAAAAATCAATAATTTTATAATGAGAGTTTGGAGCTCTTAAGAGGTTTCTGATTAGAAATCCTATTTTCCTTATATAATATATAGATATAGATATTTATATTTGTTTTAGATATTTTTTTAATATACAAATTATTTTTTTAAATTTTTTTATAAAAATAATTTAACAATTTCATCATTAACCATAGTGTATAGGAGAAGTTAAAAAGGGTGTTGCAATAACTATGAGAGAAGTTAAAAAGACTTATGGGTTAGGAGAAGTCAATTAATGCTGAGGTTATTTTTTTTTTAAATCAAAAAATTAGAAAATTAATATTGGTATATTGGAGCTCCTACAAGACTTGTGGGTTAGAAATCCCCTGTTCCTTATATAATATATAAATAGATAGATAGATGGCCATGTAGGCAACAAACAAATTTGATATTATATGTATCAATATATGCCAACATATATTATCATATTATCATTTTAAATTATAGAATCACCTATTATACAAATTATAAAAATTTAAAACCTTTAAAATTATGTTACATTATTTATTAATATATTAATTGATATATTGACTAATGTGTATAGTATTACTTCAATTTGATCACATCATTGGAGAGAGGAGGAGAGGATTATGTCCCGTTCAAAGAAATATAAGACGGCTTGGTTTTGATACCATATTGGTATGATTGTGATTAGCGGTGTAAAAATGGCCCATGGCTTGTAGGTGACTTGAAACTCATTTGTGGTTTGGGTTGGGCTAGGTCTAGTTAGGTCCGAGCCTAACCTAGTTCGGGACCCTAGGCCTAAGCCTGAGCCGTCGTTTTGAAGCTCAACTCATGACTCAACCCGTTACTCGGCCCATCAACCCACTGAAGGCCCATTCAAAGCTAAGCCTGCTCAGGCCTAGTGTCATTTGTTGTGAAAAAGAATAAAATTTTGGTGAAAAAAATAAAATAAAAATGTTCAGGCCTAACGCAAGCCCGAACCTAGGCCTAGGCCTAGGCCCGCGGCCTTTCCAAGGCCCGAATACCCCCTAGGCCTAGGCCTAATTTTCTGGTCCGTGGGCCAGCCTGGCTTGGCCCAAATTTTAGCGGGAGCCTGTGCGGCCCAACATGGATCGGTCCAAGCTTGGGTATGTCAGACCACACCAAATTTACACCCTAATTGTGGCAAACGGAGGAGCTTCTTATGTTTTGGTTACAAGGCAATGATAAAAATGACACAAACAAACACAATTACTCTCTTGTTTTTTCCGCTATACCTAAAAAAAGAAGTACATTTACCCTCTTTATGCAAAAACTCCCAGTTAAGCCTGAGCATGGTTAGGGTTAGTTTAAGAAGAAATTACCCTTTGGTGACTTGGATTAATAATCAAAAAGTGATAAATTCATTAGAGTAATACTTAGGACCTATATTTGAGGCCCTCAAATACTCTCCTAATGATGTAGCAAGTAAGGAGCCCACATAATCGAGTATGCGACAAATTAAAAGTTGACACCTATCGTTCCATATCATTGTGGGTGAAATTGTGAAGATTTTATTAGGAGTCTCAAACATTTTCCAAATCGTTATAAGTTGTCAAATAACTTTTTTATTTTTTGTACGTCCTTTCGTAAAAATTAGAAAACTTATTAAAATAATCAATTCCAAAACGGGACTTGAGAATCAAATCTAGTTTCATGAAATTTGAATTTAGAAGTAATTATAATTTTTAGTCTTTAAAATGTATTATTTGTATCATTTTGATCTTTAATATTTGGATAAATTACACTTACCTCTCCTGAGGTTTCTGACAAATACAGAGACCTCCCACGTGGTTTCAATAATTATAAAAACTTCCCCTACATTTGCTGACAATATCAGATTCCTCCAATCTGTTAATTTAGCACAAACGACGTTACTTTCCTATCCAAAATGACTATATTACCCCTTTGAATTGAGCGGGAAGAGATGAAAATTAGTAAATCAATCAATAAGCTATTTAAATAAAAAATTTCATTCACATCCCCTGAGGTTTTACATATATATTATTAAAGACTCATACATATTTTAACATAACACCCTGATAATTTAATATAAAACCCTAATAATTAATATTCTTATAAGACTTATTTCACATTATATAAATAACAAAAAAGTTATCAATTTTAATTAATGCTTTGATTATTTAAATTTCGT